TCCCAGACAAGGCTTTGTCTACCTGGGTCTTAAACACCTGCAAGGATGGAGACCGCACCACTTCTCTGGGGAGCCTGCTCCAGTGCTTTGCTGCCCTCCTGGCGAGAAAGTTTTTCCTAATATCCAACCTCAACCTCCCTTGCTGCAGCTTGAGCCCATTGCTCCTTGTCCTGCCATCTGCCCCTACTGAGAACAGCCCAGCTTCATCTTCTTTGCAGCCCCCCTGCAGGGAGGTGAAGGCTGCTATTCAATCCCCCTCGGTCTTCTCTTCTGCAGACTCAATCAGCCCATTTCCCTCAGCCTCTCCTCACATGTCACGTCCTCCAGCTCCCAAATCATTTTCATTGCCCTCATCTGGAGTCTCCAATGTGTCCACATCTTTTCTGTAGTGGGGAGCCCACAGCTGGACACAGCACTCCAGATGTGGCCTCCCCGGTGCTGAAAAGAGGGGAGGAATCACTTCCCCTGACCTAGCAACGCTCCTATCAATGCAGTCCCGGATGCCGGTAGCCTTCTCGGCACCACTGCTGGCTCCTGTCCAGCATTGGGGACAGGTCACTGAATGCATCAACTCCGTGCTTAGCAGTCAGCAAAGAGGCAAAAAGGTTTGGGACAATGAAGAAGGGAACCTATGAACACAATAGGAAGCATCACGAGGCCCCTTCATAAACCCATAGGGCGTTCACACCTTGAACCCGGTGCCCAGCTCTGGTCCCCGCAGCCCCAGGAGGAGAGAGAAGAGCTGGAGAAGGAGGCCGGGGGCTGCGGAGGGGCTTCCCTAGGAGCAGAGACTGAGGCCAGGCCTAGGAGAGACGCTGGAGGGGACAGGAGCAGGGTTTGCATTGCACTGAATGGGGGAGGAGAAAGTCCCCGGGGATTTATTCCTGCCCGTCTCTGCCCAGAGCGAGCAGGGGTCCTTGCACAGGACAAGTGGGCCGGCAGTTGCAAACCGAGCCCAGGCCGTCCTGAATGCCACGTGGAGGGGACAATGGAGGACTCGTCCCAGACGTGGCGGAGCCGGATCCACTGGGGACCTGACACGTGCGGGGAGGAAAGGGGCACGGGGAGCGCTGGGGCAGGGAGCGAGGGGCACGGCCTCTGCACCAGCCCTGCTGGGACCCTCTGTGCTGGAGGAACAGGGGAAAGCCCTGCTTGGCCCCCGCCCCGGGCACTCGCCCTCCAGCTCCGCTCTGCCCCGGGACACGAGGCAGGACGGACCTGGGTCTAAGCCAGTGCAGGGCAGCTTGGCAGTGCCCATGCTGGAGGTGCGAGGAGGGCACTGATGGGCATCTCTCCCCCCACAGATCATCCAGAACTACGAGCTGCACCCGGACCCCCGCGGCAGGGAGGTGCACCCCCTCTCCCGCATTGTGCTGGTGCCCGACAAACCCATCAACCTGGAGCTCGTGGCCCGGGCGCCAGTCCCCTGAGTGCAGCCAGCCTTGCCTGGGACCCTGGGGGTCCTGTCCTCGCTCAGGGGACAGACCCTGCCTCCAGGGCAGAGTCAAAGGGTCATTTTAACCCTTCAGGACCAAGCTGGAGGTTACCTGTGCGCCCCCCCAACCCCATGCCCGCTGCTGTGGAGGACTATGATCCTCTCCCAGACCCGGAGGGGCCCCAGCTGGCACCCGGGACAGGGCTGGGCTTTGCGAGTCCTCCAGCCGAGCCCTACAAGTGACCTGGGCGCTACGTGCCCCATAGGGCCCTGCTGTGCCCAGGGTGGGGGGCAGGGGGTACTACCAGCTGGGAGCCCCAATGCCTGGGTTCTCCCCCAGCTCTACCCCAGATGGGCCGACCCCACGCAACCCTGGGCAGCTCTGTGCCTCAATTTCCCTGTTGGCCAGCAGTGCCGCTAGCCCCTGTGTGCAAGCCGTGGGGAGGGGATGGGGGGAGAGGGCGCTGCCAGACCCTGCAGGATTCAGCCAAACAGCAGTAAACCACCAGTGCCCGAGGCCCGCCGAGTGTGTGCGATGCTCTGGGAAGGGGCAGGGGAGGGGGCTCGGGGTGCACATCTGAACCCTTCCATGTGCCCTCGAGGCAGCCCCAGGCCTGGTGTGAACCCCCGGGTGGGGGAGACGACCTCCCTGCCCTGGTCACGGAGCCTCATGGAGCCAGTGCAGTCCCAAGGTTTATTTCACAGCTCCAAGCAGCAGGAGGAGGGCGGGGGGCAGCCAGGGGCAAGCAACAGCCCCCAGTGCCCACCCCTACCCCAAGCAATGGCTGCTGTTGCTGCAAGCACTGGGCCAGGGGCAGCATCAGCCAGGCGCCTGCTCCCACCCTAGCCCAGCTCCAGGTGCCCAAAGGTCAAATGTGCCTAGGCCTTGGCACAAGCCCAGGGCCCTCTGGCACCGTCTGCGTCCCGGTTATGGGACCCAGGGGTCCGGGGCCTTGCAGGGAGAAGCGAGGGGGCAAGCAGCCCCACGTCTGGCTGAGCATGAGAAGCACAGACAGGACCAGACCGGCTGAGCATGGCCGTGCCCCCCCCAGCCCCACGCCAGCAAACCCATTCCCCATGAGTCTCCCCCTGGGTATGGGTGCCAGGGCCGGGTCTGGCCGCCTGCAACCGGGCCATGCGAAGGTCAGAGCCTCGCACCACGGGCAGGGCATCGGGTACCAGGCAGGCGTCATCTCAGGTCCCAGGGAAGGTGATGCCAAGACAGCTTCACTCCTCCCCGCCCAGCAGAGCAAGCAGGCCGGGTCCCTTGCCAGAGCTGTGGCTCTTCCCGGGGGGCAGCAGCTCTTCAGAGCGAGCTCCGGTCGATGCCTGCGGAGAAAGGGGCAGGGGGTCACGGAGGGCAGAAGTGGGAGGTCACATCCCCCCTCCCACCCTTTTCCCAGCCCACCACTGAGGCATTGCAGAGTCCCAGAGCCCCTGGCAGGGAGCTGCGGGGCCGCATCCAGCCCGAGGGAGGATCAGCCCCGTCCAACCTCCCCCGACAAACCCTGTGTGGGACCTCGGAGCCACATAACACCATCGCCCCGACACAGCCTAGGCATTGCCTCCACCCCCAGGATACAGGGGGCCACGGCCCCAACATCCTGCTGCTGTCAGTGGGGTTGGTGGGCCCCGGGGAGAGCCCAGGCCCAGGCCGTGCCCCGCTGCAGAGGGAGGGGAACCCCCCCAGCCAGCCCAGGCTGAGCAGGGGGCAAATCCCTGCTTGCCCCCTGCCCTCCCCCATGCAGCATGAGCGGGGGGCAAGAGCCTCCAGCCAGGACCCTGCGGGGCTGAATCCCAGCAGGAGCACTGGCACAGCCCCCAGCACTCAGTGCCTCTGGGGGGCTTCAACCCCCTGACCCCGGGGGTGGGGGGCAGCCCCAGCCTGGGACACCCCCCAGCAGAGCACAGGCATCGCTGCGCCTCGACCCTCCTGCCCAGCACCCGTCCAGCCTCACCTTGCACCCTCCCGTGCTGCAGTGCCCACCCCAGCCCCCCCCCCTCCAACCCCCCCCCTGCCCCTGTTCCCCCCCAGTGGCAGCCAGTGCCATGTGCCGAACCACCCCTGGGGCTGTGGCACTACGCCTGGCCCCGGGGCTGAGGACAGTGGCCAAAGGCAGGCACTGGAGGGGGGGGATAGCTCCGGGCTGCCCCACCCCTGACACCCAACAGACATCACCCCACACACATGGCCACGTGGAGCACAGCTGGCGGGAGGGCGTGGGGGACACAGAGCACAGGAACCACGTGGCTGGTGGGGGCTCAGGGCCCTCAGGGGCTGTGGACAGTGACGGCCGCAAGCTGCCCCATGCCGCAGCAAGCATGTGCGTGGCCCCAGTCCCGCAGGATCCGTGGCAGCTGGCAGTCTTTGCCCCCTCAGTGCCATGTTGGGGGGGGGGGAGATGCCCCTAATAGAGGGGGGGTCTCTGCTCATGCCAGGCTGCGTCAGTCTTGCACGCTGAGGCCGTGCCCCCCAGGGGGTATTGCCCATCTGCCCCCAACCCAGTGAAGCCCTGCCAGGGTTAGGGAGAAACAAAAAGGGCCAAGCCTGGCTTGCAGACAGATTCATAGGTTCATAGACGTAGGGTCGGAAGGGACCTAAGTAGATCATCAAGTCCGACCCTTGCCCTGGGCAGGAGAGAAAACTGGGCTCATACGACCCCAGCCAGGTAATTATCAAGTCTCCTTTTGAAGCCCCCCAGGGTAAGGGCGAGCACCACTTCCCTTGGAAGCTGGTTCCAGGTCCTAGCCGCCCTGACCGTGCAGTAGCACCTCCTGATGTCTAGTCTGAACCTACGCTTGGTCAACTTATGGCTGTTATTCCTTGTTACTCTCTGGGAGTTGCTCAGAGGAACAGGGTCTCCCCATTCCCCGCTCGTCCCCCCTGGTAAATTTGTAGATGGCCACCAGGTCCCCCCTCAGCCTTCTCTTGCGAAGACTGCACAGGTTCAGGTCCCATCGCCTCTCCTCGTAGGGCC